TCTGCGTCTAACCTCGGAGGTCGATCCAGTGGGCGACCGTATTTACCCAAAACTCTGTCCCTAACCTCAGCATTGCTCATCCAGCTACCGCACCAGATTCGTGCAATGCTGCGTAGACAGCGGTGTTCAAACACCGACAGTCTATCTATATCCTCTTTTCTTAATGACCAAATTTCTGCACCGTATAGCAGAACTGGCCGAACTGTCGCGGCATACACTCGACCCTTCATAGACAGCCGGATGTCGCGACGGCGCCACAGATGTCTCAAGTTGGCAAATGCCAATCGAGCTACAGCCGGATGTCGCGACGGCGCCACAGATGTCTCAAGTTAGCAAATGCCAACCGAGCCTCCTGTATGCGAGCAGACACATCATCCCTGATGTGTCCAATGAAGAGAAAGTAGCTGCCCAAATAACAAAACTTATCCACCGGCTCTATTACCTCTACAGTTGCAGTGAAGCTGGGTGCTGAACCAACCCACTTTTTAAGTAACATTTTACACTCTGACGGTGCAAAACCCATATGGCTACTGTGGCATTCAAGTTATCCAGAAATGCTTGAAACTTACCTGGATCTTTACTTAGCAGCACAATGTCGTCTGCGTACTCTAGATCAGACAGTCTGCCTCCTGGGAGTAGATCGATACCGCTATCTTCGCACGAGGTTAGGGCTGTTTCCATAATCAAATCTATAACGAAGCTCAATAGAAAAGGAGAAAGAGGGCAATATGACGAATACCACTTTCCGTGGTGAACTCGGACGAAAAGTCCCGTAAGCTCGGGCTCGTCTTCGGCTATTAGTATAAAGCGATCGCAATATTGAAATTAACTTCTTGGGCATACCTCTCAGATGCTGTGCGAGCATCCAACAAGGCAACGGAGGTCGGGGAGATCCATCGCTTTTTATTTGATCGTGCACCAGAATCTGCTATTGTTTTAATCGACGTTTGGATCGCTTCCTTGATTGCCGACCAGTGTTCACTGAGTCCTCCGACCCAATGAATGAGCTGAGAGGTGATCTGATAGTTCCGCTTCGAAGGCCGATTTGCAACTGTCGGTGATACTATATTGTGGGCATCCGTTTTCAGTGGCTTTTCTGCGGTTGTTTATCAGGTGTAGTGAGAATCTTGCTCGTAGCAGAGCATGGTCCGTGTCCACGGGTGTTGACCAGTAGAAGCGGCAATCTTCAATAGATCCTCGCCAGCGGTGGCTGATGGCGATGNGAGATCCATCGCTTTTTATTTGATCGTGCACCAGAATCTGCTATTGTTTTAATCGACGTTTGGATCGCTTCCTTGATTGCCGACCAGTGTTCACTGAGTCCTCCGACCCAATGAATGAGCTGAGAGGTGATCTGATAGTTCCGCTTCGAAGGCCGATTTGCAACTGTCGGTGATACTATATTGTGGGCATCCGTTTTCAGTGGCTTTTCTGCGGTTGTTTATCAGGTGTAGTGAGAATCTTGCTCGTAGCAGAGCATGGTCCGTGTCCACGGGTGTTGACCAGTAGAAGCGGCAATCTTCAATAGATCCTCGCCAGCGGTGGCTGATGGCGATGTGGTCGATTTGAGTTCAGCGTTGTGGAGGAATTGGCGGTTTCCTTGTAAAGCGGTGTCGTTTTTTGTGCGAGAAGTTCGTGCTTGACAGAAACAGTCCGTGGTCAGCACAAAGTTGGAGTAGGCGTTCTCCGTTGTCAGTCCTGTTGGCTGGGATTGCATGCGAACCGCCAGGTAAGCTCTCTGATTCTTCCAGGGATCCCACTTTAGCATTGAAGTCTCCAGCGACTACCACAATGTCCGTTGACTGAGCACTTTGAAGCAGTTGACAGAGGTCCTTGTAGAATTCATCCTTCATCCTTCTGGTGAACTGCAATCTGTCGGTGCATACGCGGATACGACGAATAAACATCAACGTTTCGTTCTGTAGCTCTTGACGCGTACTGAACCATCCAGACGTACGGCGCAAAGTCGGCTGTTAACCGGGATCCAATCGAGAAGTGAACGCTCGACCTTGACATTTAGCGTGATTTCAACACCAGCAACACCGCGAGCATCGGATGCCGAATCGCCTGACACACGGAGAGTGAAACGTAAGGATGATGCTGGATCTGGCGAACGGAGAAAGATGACTGAAGTAGGGTAGGCATGCGTGTTTCGGAGACACAGCATACATTTAAATGGAAGGTTTCAAGGGTTCTAGCTAAGGCGGCTTGTTGACCGATCTGGTAGAATGTGCGGACATAGAGTGCGGCTAAGTGAAAAGGGGATTTTGGTTTCAAAAATCTGGTAGTCTCTGAGTGGTTGACCTTATCAGTTGAACACTCAGTGATATTCAATGGGTATCGTAAACAGGAGGCATCTGGGAATATTCGGGATTGAGAAGAAAAACTAGACAGATGGGAAAGATGGTTTTCCAAATGGGTGCCTACGACTTTAGGGCACGACATGCTTCGCGGTAGCCCACACCGACAAAGGGGTATATTCTTTGAGAACTCGAACCAGAGCCTTCGACTCAAAAGTCTGACGCACAAGGTAGTGGAGCTTAAATCCAACACGGGAGTGTGATTGGAGCGCCCGTGTGAGATCTTCTGGAGATCTGTCACGGAAGGCCTTTGAATTTCGGTTAAGTTTGCTGTTCGCTGGTGCGTTGATTGTCGGTCCGCTTTTCAGGATCGGCCCTCAGCCTCGTGCATCCAATGAGACAAGCGGAACGTGAACGGGACAGCATCTTATTGGCTGGGGGCTGCCCAGCTTGGGCGGGCGGTAGTTGTCTAATGAAGTGCGAAGACTTCTCCCACCGTCGAGAGGATGCCCCAGGGACCCCGCTCCTACGTCCATCTAGAGGGGATTTTTTTGACCGGTAAACTGCCCCTTACCGTATTTATTTGTTGGAGTGGCCTCTCCAGGGGCGTGTGGATAGAAGAAGGAAGCCATGAGGTGCTCAAGCAACTGGCTTTGTGAGACTGAGCTTCGTCTGGCCTCTACCCATTGACCTTTCAGGCATGATTGGATCTACGACTGTTAGAAGCCATCCTGTATAGTTCGGCTCATCAGTAGTGCATATCCACTATCCCTTCCGGGATTTGAACTCCGAACCCATCGTATGGAAGGTGTGTGCGTTACATTACGTTGCTGTCGGACCAAATGAATTGACTGACTGTCACTGAAAACAACACCCGCACAATGATGAATTGGCAATTCAGTTTGGTCATGGTATAAGCTGGTTCGCACGGTGGTAACGCACGCGCCTTCCATGCGATGGATCCGGAGTTCCACTCCGGGACGGGATGGTGGGTATGCACTGCAGATGAGGTCGAATGAGAGCGGCACTGGAATCTAGTGCTTCCGAGTGTACGGTGGAATCGATGAACTGAGGATTGTGCGTGAATGTTAAGTCTTGAGGATCTTTAGTTCAAATGAATTAATATCAATTATCCCACATCAAAACTCACAAATAACTGTGAATTAAATGCGAGTGTGTGTTATATTGTTGCTCTGTTTACTGTTTTGACTCCCTAGATTTGTGTGCAAAAGGAACTCAGGCGATTTTACATTATCTTGGTCAAAGTAAGTTCACGATTGTCACTACTTTCTTACATTTAATATGTCCTCAACTCGTGAAAAATTATGTTTTTTTTCGATGATTTTCGTTGTGCTAGGGTTGTTGAATGATTTGTACGTACTCCTCGCTACTCCCCGTTTTCAACCAATCGAGTTATCGATCGATCAATCATACCATCATAGTGGATACTCATGGTAGTGCACAAAGGCAATAAATAAACATGCCTGTCTATCCTTTCACCTCAGTTGCTTTGGTTCGCCGTTGGTACCTTTCTTTCTCTCTCCATCTGCGTGTTTGTAATGAGGTCATTTGAGTACGGTGAGCGAGTGACGGGCTGCCGAAGATTAACGGACATGTTCATACCGCTTTTGTGTGACAGACAGAGAACTGCGTATCTACCATTTTGTTTCGATTTGTTTTCCAATTTAGTTGTGATTGTCGTTTTACACCAAGCCCATATGCATCCATGGTCTTTTTTTAGCTCTACCGTACTTTTCTTGCGGATTCTGCTAACAGGATGTATGTATAGCCTTAAATCGAAAATCCTGAGTGAATCGAAATTCCGAATCAAATATGCAGCGATTCCAACGTCGACCTTGGCCAGAGTTGGATTGAATATGGTTCGATCGTGCCGAATTTTCCTGGTGCAAGATGGTGGCTGTTTTGAAGACCTACTCTAGCGGAACGCCTGGATCGCAGAACGATGTGGTGATGCTGTTTGGAACCAGAGAACGACCGTTCGGTCTTTTTGAAGACCAGCACAGTCTGATCGCTCGTACTGTTTGTTGTTCGATGTGTTAAATTGTTCTTCAGTCCGGTTGCTCTTAGACCGGGAGAACCTTTTCATGTGTAATTTTGTCACTGCGCTTTGAATGATCGGTGTAATCTGAGCAAAGTGAACAGATAAAGACCGATGTAAACGGAGTGAATACCGATGGCGCATAACTCATTTTTGTCAGACCATGTAGATCACGTCGAGCAGTTGTCAGCACGGGAAGGGAAACGTTGACGAGAGCGAGATTACAAGACGTTTTGTTAATGAAAACACTAATGGGCATTTTTTGTCATGCCGATGTGCTAACAGTGGGTAGATGGATAAGTGATCTGCACTTTGGGGTTGGATACTGCTTGCAAATGAAATGTCTTTGGTTTTCATACTTAGGTAATCGTTAGGCCGGTGGTGATCAAGTAGTAAAGTTTATCAGATTATCGCTCCAGTGGACATTTTTTTTTTCGAAGCCCACCACTATCATCTGACTCTCCGTTCTCTGCGCTCTGTGGCAGCCCTTTGATTGACCGTTTCACCCTTCCTGAAAATTGCATCATTATATATTCGATCAAAGGAAGTAGAATATAAGATAGCGATAAAGGGATTCAGTTAGTTGATTTTTCGCCCATCAAAATACAAGTACAAAGACGTCATTGTACTGTTGATTATAGATGCAAGTAAACGGTAAGTTTTTCTGTATGAATTGGGTCTTCATGTAGTTACATTAGGCAAACGCACTGCACCTCCAAGTTGTTGCCCTAATGGGTAGGTCTGTTTTTTTAATTATAACGGAGGAGACAATACGGAATGAGCAGATCACTTCGGCCGTTCGGTTAGGTCAAAGTCGAAGTTTTCTTATGGGCAATACTTACAAGCGGTTGTTTTTCTGATCCCATAGGGTTTAGCACAAATAGATCAAATTACGGTTCATAGAAAAATAAGGAATATCACAAATTTTTCTTTTTTTCGTGCACTTCTACGTATGTCGAAATTTAAAATCTGACAATGTCTCATCCAATTTGTGCTCAAAGGAATCAATTGTGGGCACAGAAACACCGTGAGATGGTAGAGAATTCCGAAAACATTGCACGCTCTGAGGTCAAATGAATGAGTCCGGCATTCTAGTCGGCAGTTTTGGAGCACTAATTTGAACGAGTGCCCACTGAAATGAATGTTGGGCGACAAGGTGAACAGTAAAGGACATGGGTGATCAGGGTTCGTTATTATTTTGTACACCACTATCAAGTCCCCTGGAATTGAGCAATAGTATGTGGAGTACAACCCCAACGGTTCCAGTCCTCCCACATCAGTCTTGGAATCCCTTGACCATTCTTTGTGGACGTTCCAGGATCTTACGAGCGCGTTTCAGCCATGGATTCCATACTCGAATGGTATAATATGTGGGGTCGAATGTGTTTGTTTGAATTTGCTAAATACTCGCTTTAGCAAACCAACATGTCTTGCAGCGGTGGACGGCGCCCTGGAGCAGTCTATGGGACAACTTAGGTCATCTTAAACAATGACACCGAGATCCTCATTTGAGGCACACGGAAGTTGTTGATATCCCAGGAAGTACGAAGACCGGGTTTCGTGGCAAAGGGATATGAGCGTACATTTTGATGCATTGAATTCGATACCATTTCGATCGATCACTGATAAGCAGAGTACGTGTCCTCAAAAGTGGCAGTAAGTCTGCAAACATTAACTTTTGTGGCCCCAGAATGTTCAGGTTTCAGATGAACTTTTGGCACGCGTTCGGTTGACTTTGACCATCTGAGATTGCGCTGATACCACCGCGTCCCTGAACAACCGGATACAAGTCGCAGCTATTCTGCCGATTCTTTCGTATGACGCAGAAAGATCGCCGGTAACGGGTACTGACGAAACGCTGATTATGAGTGTTCAAGCACCGCTGTCTACACCATATTGCGCGAGTTGAATGAGGCAGTGGGACAGGAGATGAGATGTCAGATTAAGATTTTTTGGTATTTGATATCGCTCCTGATCTTCACAAATTAAGTTGGTTGGGGCTCGTGTTACGCAAGCCACCCGATTGGCTGACTTGGCGTCAAATTTAGACCTGGTCTGAGGTTAGGAAACCTTGACGGGGGCTCGCGGTCATAAGGGTTGCATTAAGCCTCCTGGATGAAGACCTCGAGATTAGCATAAACTATGGTTACAGACACTGTAAAATGGCTGTTTCGTTACCAGCGCTGCTCGTGTATCTACTCCATGTCTTCACAACCGTTTTTACGTGGGATGCGATTCTTCACGTCCTCCTGTTTCATCTGATTTTAAATCTATTTTTAGTTATCATTTTTGTTCAGGATTTCTAACTTAATTTGAATGACATGAACATTCGTAAGTGTCTCTCAGTCTTGTATTCGGTTCGACAACACTAGTCGTATTTTTCTCTCCCGTATTTCTCCTCCTTACATCTTTCACTTGTTTTTTTTATTAAGACAATCATCCCCCTAATCGAGCAGATTTCACCGATGGACCTAAACCGCCAACTGTCTCGCCCCCAGTTGATCTTCCGGACGTCCAAACCACTGTGCCTGGGTCTGGTGACAATCCGCTTAACGTATGTTACAGTTATGATGCTTCTAGGGACAAATGATGATATTTATACTTCTTTTCCATCTCCTATTGTAGCATTATATAATAGCATTCAGCTTTTCGCGGACAGCGCGATGCTCTGTTGGATACGGAAAATCTCCGTTGCACGGATAGGGATCCGCACACAGTCCTAGGCGGGCACAAATAATAACAGCCGATTGGATTCGTTACGAAATGCAGCTAATCAATCGAGCACACACGCAGAAGCCCGAGGGAAAGTAATGTGATGTGACTTGTCAAAAGCCGGACAGACCAGGGGTGGTCAGGTAAATAGTCCCAACAGTATGGTTTCCATCGGGGATCTTCACATCTTGTGCATATAACTTAGTTTCGGTTACTGGTTTTTACCAAAGCATTTGGCGGAGGGGTACAGAAAGCCCAAGGTTTAGTCATTTATACTAGTGAAAGTTTGGTGTTTGACCCCATTCAGTTCAGTTAAACTGTTTGATTTTTCTTGCCTACTAATTCTCAATCAGACTTCCATCAGAGCGTGAATCACTAGCGACGGAGTCTAATGTCAATTAGCCTAATTAATAGACAGAACCGCATGAATCGAGTTTGCATGTGTGATTGATGCAGTCCTGAAAAACTCGACGTATTTTTCCGTTTGAACAGGTCGTCCTCATCACTTGGTAAGCCAGCCAAATTATGCAGAGGTTCCCTATGCGATACTCCAAGTTGAAGAGACTAAACAATCCTTGTGGCTTATGTCTTCCATTCCGACGGTCTTTTTTATCATCTCATCAATATCGCAAGAAGACAGATGTTATCAGATATGAACATTTCGTTTAATCTCCTCAATCGCTGACTTGAAACCAGCTGGTATATATATATATATATGTATATATATATATATATATTACATTTTCGTGAAATGTTTAATTGGCCGACGCATTAGTTGCTTGCTCTGTCAACCCCGTGAATGGTTTATGACTTTTGATTCCACCTAGTGTATTCTCTGATCGTAGTAAACAATCAGGAGGAAGTTCTATTTTTGATAATTATTTCCAGTTCAATGTTAACCTGTCGCATATATCGCTTACGTCAGGCTCTGGTACATCACTGCCAAGTAACTGGCAGAATCAGTGCTTCTAAAGTGTTTCAATCTTATGAAATACGCTGACGAAGAAAATCTTGTTTAAATTCCTATCCCCTGCATCTGCTACTACTCAAACAGAAAAACTAAGTTTATTTTAATGGGCCGAACTTATGAATATCGCCCTGTTTTGGATTCATCACACAAGCACAACTCATTGGACGTTTTTGTGATCTACTCACCGTTCCGGTGATATGTTGTTTTCATTCGTTGTCTGTAAAACGATGTGTTACCACTCACACCAATCTGGGTAATCCATGGAGTCCGTTTGATATCCGTCTGTCTATCCACAATCAAAACACGTCCTTCAGTGATTCCACCAGTTTTGCGATGAGGTTGTGACCCATGGCCATTGCTTAGGTGAGATACGAAACCTGATCAGTTCTTCCGTATGGTATCCTTGTTGCTAAGGTTCCCTTCAAGATAGAGAAATGTATCGACCAGGAAGTGATACCGATGCCTAACTCTCACAGATTGAAATGACTGGGACGTGTGGTTTGTTTGTCATCTTAGACGAGCAGTATTCGTCTGGACGACTAGTGATTGGAGTAGATTTAACAGTTACTGACCCCATGTTCCATCAAAAGCATGTAGGGACCTTTTCAAGTCCCATGACCGCGGAATACTTCTCTATCGTCAAGCTTCTCAAATAATCTCTGCTGATGGATACCTAGTCACTGCCCTAACATTGCAGAAATACTTTCTTACCAAAAAGAGGGAACGAAAAGCCAAAACCCTCGGTTAACTGGGCCAATGACCCTGTGGCAGTTCATCTGAAATAGTTTGGGAAAACCCTTATTCCAAACCAGTAATACACCACCCCGATTCCGGCAGTGGTCATCGAGATCCATTGAGCACGTTGGATGTTTCACTCCTAAATGGCGTTGTCGTGTATCACGCTCTTTATCTATTGCATATCGCTGTATTCGTAACCTTTCTCTTTTATACGTTTCAGCCTATATGCCAGAGTTGTTAGACAAATAAAGCCTTATATCTCGGGCTCTCATGCTTCTCTCTCTCTCTCTCTCTCGAGTAACTACCGACTGTTGTCATCTCGTATTCAGAATATAACAATATATAAACAATATATAAACATTGGATCGGCCTTATCACTTGCAAAAAACTGTAACTTTAGAGCCGTCACGGTCGATCAAAACCAAAACAACGCCATACGGGATGGTTTTATCAGTGGAATGCGGTCCACTAACATCCACCAGCGCCTCTTGGAAAACCGAACCCTTGACCTATAAACAGCATACGAACAGGCTAGAACCTTTGAGATAGCATATCAACAGTCTAGCGCCTTTCACCCAGTCGATTCCGCTTACACAGCTGTAGTCGTTAACCCCAAGTCACAAAACGAGTCTACATCGAACTTGGTGCCCCACCAATCTAATTTACTGGAAAAAAATATAGCCGCTTTGAGCAACAATCGATGTTTCTTCTGCGGATACTACAAACATCCTCGTTTCAAATGTCCGGCTAAAGATGCAACCTGCAAGTGTTGCTGACAAAAGGACATTACCAGAAGGTTTGTCGATCCAAGCCAAACTCAAATTTATAGTTTGTTACCAGCTCTCTGATACCCTCCATTGCTCTCGCTGCAGCTCCAATGGAGTTATTCGGCTCTGTCAACGGAATATCTCTCCAGGCTCTCATTGACACTGGCAGTTCTGCTAGCCACGTATCGAACTCTGTGGTACGAAAATATATGTGGAAGGTCGAAAAATCCCGTAGTGCTGTATCCATGGCTTCGATGAACCTAACCAGTTTCACCCACGGACATTTTTCTCGTTAACTTATTATATAAGAACCATCGTTATTCAAAAATCAAACTGTCGGTGTTGGATAATCTCTGTTCAGATGTCGTCCTTGGACACGATTTCTTCCGACTACACTCAAAAATGAAAATTCCATTCAATAGAGCCAAAGATTCATTTTCGGTCTGTAGTGTAACGGCTGCGAATATCGAGTCACCTCCGGTATTTAACAATCTTACTCCTCATTTCGCTCCAGTTGCAACCAAGTCTCGGAGGCATTCACCCTCTGACGAACTGTTCATCAAAACGGAAGTGCAAAAATTACTGAGAGATGGCATCATAGAACTTTCGCATTCTCCTTGGCGTGCCCAAGTACCTGTTACCACCAACGAACGTCAAAAACGCAAAATGGTAGTCGACTACGATCAGATTGTTAACTGCTTCACTCTCCTGAATGCCTACCCTCTACCCAAGATGGACGAACTGGTAGAGAAAATCTCACGGTATAACCTTCAGTACACTGGACTGGAAGAGTGCGTGCCACCAGATAACCTTGAGGGACGTAGATAAAACGTATACGGCATTCGAAGCGAGTGGCAACCTGTATGAGTTCTATTAGATTCCCTTCGGCATCACCAATGGTGTTTCTTATTTCCAAGGAGTTATCTACCAAATCATTAGGATCGAGAAACTGGAAGCCACCTTTGCCTATTTAGGTAATATCACGGTATGTGGTTCCTCTGAGCAAGAGCATCGCAGAAACTTGAATCGTTTCTACGAGGTTGCTCATAAGTACTTCTTCACCTTTAGTGAAACATCATCAATACAGACAAAATCAAGATACTGCGGTACGAATTCTCATAGATCCAGCAAACCCGACCCGGATCGTCTAAGACCCCTGCTGGAGCTGCCGCCTCGAGATCAAAAACCGATGCAACGGGTTATTGGGTTATTCGCGTATTACTGTCAGTGGATATCTCATTTCCCTGGCAAGATTAACCCTCTGGTCAATCGCAACACATTCCCGCTGCCAACAAGCGTCATAGCTGCGTATGTTCTGAAAAATGAACTTGCTCGAGCTGTGATGACAACCGTCGATCCTCACACTCCTCTAGTGCTGGAAACCGATGCTTCATACATAGCATTATTCGCTATGCTATCGCAAGAACGGGAGAGCAGTTGCGTTTTTCTCACGAACATTAACACCTTCCAGACAGCGTCACTCCTCCTCG